CCCCAAAACCCCAAAACCCCAAAACCCCAAAACCCCATAGAGCAGCCTAATTTTGAGTTTTAATATTAGATTTCTAAAAGATGGAAGAAGAATCAAAAACTGATCATTTACAAGTTCCTGCTCCTTCTAATCTAAACAACTCTCTTAGTGATAGCCAGCATCGAAATGATAATTCTAAAAGTTTTGACGATTGAGCACTTCCTGGTGAAGAAGAAGAAATCCTGGATACAATTCCTCCTTGCTTTGAAAAGTGTGAGAAACATAGAGAAGCGTGGAAAGTCAAAAATTTGACTTTATTGAGTGCTAATGAAGATTGGAGTAGTACTAAAAAATTCTGCCAATGATGTCACTTGCCCTTATACAATGCTGCAGAGCCATTTCAGTTTTGTACAAGCAATACAAACCTTGGCATTCTCGGATTGGGATTTACTCTATTCTACAAGTTGAAGATATTTCATTGCTGAATCTATATCGCCTTATGAGTGGTAGCTATTGTGATTTCAACACTATATCTAAGTCAACAGGAATCTGCAAGTGATTATAATTCTTCTAAAGAGGTCTCCTATCTTGCATACATCAGTTTAGGCAGCTATGGCAAAAGCCTTCAGAGCCCTGACAAAGAGCAAATAAAAACGATTAGGTTAATTTACCTTGGCTGCCTTGTGTCAATTGTCTTTGGAACTTTGATCTTCGAATGTTGCCAAGTAAAGTTCATCAAGCACAGTGAGAAGGAGTACACTAAAGCTTCTGATTTCGCAGTCATCGCTTCGAACATCCCAGTTTCTAAAACTGAGAAAGAAATAAAAGAGTGGTTCTGAAAGATTAATGATGGTAGTGAACCACAATATGTCAACTTATGATATGATATTAAAGAAACTACACTGAAGGGTCAGAAAATAGAAAAACTGAAGAACAAGAGGGCATCCTTAGGATTCTATCTTGAGAAATTGAAAGAGCCTACTCACCAAAGAAATGATGCAATGTGGTCTCCTTCTGAAGGAGTGATCTCAGTAAGAACAACAAAATATGGTATGTAAAATAGGAGTCATATTTTGTTTAAAATCGATTTAAATCGTAACATCAAATAGGACAAGTCGAAGAAGAAATTAAAGCTCTTGATTCTCAAATAACTGACCTTGAAAGAGAAGCTCAAGAAACAGGAGACGATTTCAGCTTCTGCGGCACAGCATTCATCATCTATGATAACTCAGAAGATGCCTTTAAAATTAGTGAAAAGTTTAAAATTTCTTATCTGCGAAGAACCATAAACTTTGTTTTGAAATAAGGTTTGAAAATGAAAGAAGTTTACCAAAAATAGCAAACATACTTGGGGTGATAGTAGAATATATATCGAAAAACCTGCTGAGCCGAATAACTATATTTGGGAGAACCTCTCTGCAAAGATGAAATTCAGAGTCTTGAAAACATTTATTACGTTTTTGGCTGCTTTGGGTTTCCTTAGCATTGCTTTTGCAATCAATCTTGGGTTAAATTTGATAAGAGATCAGTTTTCAGAGAATGATGAATCTAACGTCTTATCTCAAATGATTAGATATCTGATCACCTTTATCACAATGCTATTCGTTTCATGTACTAATATAGCTCTTGGAAAATTGATAAGATCTATATCTAATATTGAAAACCATCATAAATACTCAACATACCATCTCTCGGTTTCAATAAAACTGACATTTGCCACATTTATTAACACGGGAATTTCTCCTTTGCTTGTTAACTTTGGAACGAGCAATTGGTTCCATTCCAACGGCCTCGCAGTGGATGTGTTCTGGAATACATTTTCTGTTTGCTTCATTGGTCCTTTACTATACCTCCTTGACCCTGCTTACTTGTACAAACTTTATAGGATTAGTTCCGAAAAGAAGAAGGGAGACCAATCAATATTAACCCAAAGGCAAGCAAATTTGTTATTTGAAGGCCCTCAAATTGATATGGCCCAGCGGTACTCTAATTCAATGCTTTTGCTCTGACTGGCAATGATGTACTCTTATTTGTTCCCAATCATACCTATGTTAGCGCTATTTGGAGTTATTTTCCAATACCAAATCGAGAAATATCTTCTCCTAAACAGACACAAACTGCCTGTCCAAATCGGCTCAACACTCTCTAAGTTTTACGTTGGATTCATGCCCATAATGATCTGAGTATTCGGACTCTCAATTTACATGTTTGCTAAAACTTTGTTCAAACAACACTATATTGAATTTCCCATAATATCAGGAGCGTTTGTGATATATTACCTCTCTCCATTACCAAGGTGGATGAAGAGAACAATTCAGAAATGAAACAAACACACCAAGAAGAGCTACAAAGAGACTAAGTTGAGTCTATTCCATGACTACAACAGAGCAAACCCTGTGACCAGAAGAGATGCTGTACAGGCGTTCCTTCAACTCAAGCAACAAAAACTTAACAAGAATGCTAGAGATGGTTATGACAAGATGAACACTTCGACTGATACTTACCTTCAAATCCAAACTGCGAGAATGAAAACTATCAAAACTCGTAGTAAACTCGACGATGTTCTTAGCTACAACACCAAGAAATCTGTGATGGACGGATGGCTATATTCAGTTCCTGAATACAATTTTAAGTTCTTGGAATATTTATACTTCAATTCAACAATGTTCCCACCTAGACCTAAAAACAAAAATAATCGTAAAGTTCACCCAGATGGAGTTAAATTAGAGAAAAACTCAATTGAAATGGGAGAAGTGGTTCTTGACATGTCAAGAAATGTTGGTAAAAATATAGAGAGCTATGCCAGGTTCATGCCCACATACATTTCGATGAATTCAAATGAAGATGGCGGAGGTCAAGAACCTCAAAGAAATGCATATGATGATGAAGAAGATCCTTAATTTAAAGTTTAAAACACTAACAGTTAATTGTTAATATTTGGATACTATTTTTAATCAATTGGTAAATTAATTAGTGGGGTTTTGGGGTTTTGGGGTTTTGGGG